AATAAAGAACATCTGTAACTCAACACAAAAAAACACGCCAATTAAAAAAATGGGCAAAGGACTTAAATGGACATTTCTCCAAAGAAGATAGACAAATGGCCAATAGGCACACAAAAAGATGCTCAACATCCTTAGTCACTAGGGAAGTGCAAATCAAAACCACAACGAGATATCACTTCATATCCATTAGGAAGGCTACAACCAAAGAAACTGAAAATGACAGCTATCAGTGGTGAAAGCGGAATCCTCATACGTTGCTGGTGGAAACGCAACATGGTGCAGCCACTTTGAAAATCATTTGGCAGTTCCTCAATAAGTTAAACATAGAATAACCATATGACCCAGCCGTTCTACTCCTGGGTATATACTCAGAAGAACTGAAGACAGGTGTTCAAAACAAAAACTTGTACACAAATGTTCACAGCAGCATTATCCACAAGAGCTAAAGGTGGAAACAACCCAGTGCCCATCAATGAATGAACGGTTAAACTGTGGTATATCCATACAACCGATTATTCAGTAATAAAAAGAAATGAAATTCTGATATGTTACTATAGAAGCCAGATACAAAAGGCCACATATTGTATGATTTCATTTATATGAAATATCCAGGACAGGGAAATCCATAGAGATAAAAAAGAAGATCAGAGGTCACTAAGGGCTGGGGGTAAGGGGTAGGGGGTAAGGGGTAGGGGGAGTTTCTGCTATAGAATTTCTGTTGGAGTGATGAAAAAGTCTAGGAAACGGATAGTGCTGATGGTTGTACAACACTGTGAATATAATTAATGGTACTGTACACTTAAAAAGGGTAAACTTTATATATATATTTTTACCGCAATAATAAAAATAAAGAAAACCAACTTAATGCTTCAGTACACAGTATAAGATTCAGTATGAGAATCTCAGTATGAGAGTCCCCAGAGAATGAGATTCAGATATAAAATTACACAAGTCTTCTTGGGCCACATTTAAAAGGCTTACACTTTCAGTTTATTCTTCATTTTAAAAAGCATTTAAATGTATAAATTCTAGATTTGAATAGTGTTCCTATTATATGAAGTGCTATTCTTAGATTTTCTCAGCCTAATTTAATTTCATAATGTGTGACCATTTATTTATCACACTTTGGGATAGAAAAACTGTAATTAAAAGCTTAAATGTGAATTACACATTTACATATAAATTGTAAATGTTCAAAAGCAAAAGAAAACCCACAGTGAGGTACTACTTCACCCCCTCTGGTATGGCTATGATAAAATAAGAAGGACAATAATAATTGTTGGCAACAATGTGGAGAAATTGGAACCCTCATACATTGCTAGTGGGAATGTAAAATGGTGCAGCCACTTTGGAAAATGGTTTGGCAGTTTCTCCAAATATTAAACATAGAGTTACCATATGACCCAGCAATTCCACCCAAGAGAAATGAAATCATATGCTCATTCAAATGTTTTCCCACATGTTCACAGTAGCATTATTCGTAATAGCCACAAGATGGAAACAATCCAAATATCCATCAACTGCCAAATGGATAAACAAAACGTTGTACATCTACACAATAGAATACTAGTCAGACAGAAAAAGGAATGAAGTACTGATACATGCTACAACACGGATGAACCTCAAAAACTTTGTGTTAGGTGAGAGAAGGCAGGCACACAAGGCCCTACGTTGAATGATTCCATTTATATGAAATGTTCCAGAAGAAGGAAATTTATAGAGAATAGTTTAGTGATTACCTAGAGTTGGGGGTGGGAATGGGAAGGGACTGCTAATGGATGTCGGGTTTCATTTTGGGGTGATGAAAACACTCTAAAATTAGATTGTGGCAATGGTTGCACAACTCTGTGAATACACTAAAAACCATGGAACTGTAAACTTTAGGTGGGTGAATTTTACGGTATGTAAAGCATATCTCAATAAAGTTGTTTTTAAAAAAACTGTTCTACTTTCTCATGCCCATAACTATCCAACTTTATTTTCTTATGATTTCTATCCAATTTATTTTCTCTGATTCACCAATATGAACTTTCTAATCTGGATGGACAGATTAGAAGGAAGTGAAGACCCCACGCTCATTTCAATTGCTTGACTCTGCTCACGTTGTTCCCTACCTGGAATACTGTCACCAGGGTGCAGTCAAGTCACATATTTATTTTGAAGATATTTCTGACCAAGTCAATCCTTACAGAACTAATTTTTCTTGCCAATCTTTCTTTTTTCTTTCTCCCCAAAGCCCCCCAGTACATAGTTGCACATTTTAATTGTGGGTCCTTCTAGTTGTGGCATGTAGGACACCACCTCAGTGTGGCCTGATGAGCAGTAGCATGTTCGCGCCCAGGATCTGAACCAGCAAAACCCTGGGCCGCTGAAGTGCAGGGCGCAAACTTGACTACTCGGCCACGGGGCCAGCCCCTAATTTTTCTTTAGATTCCATACCACTTATAATTGGTAACAGTGTACCCTCAAATACATACATAAAGCAGTTTCACCTTATTCCCCATCAACATCTAGTTTTTGCCACGATCTTTTAATTCTTGTCTTTAATCTCTTTCATCTTCTAGAAGATTAATTATTCCAGAATTGTAAAGACCAAACATAATCATGGGAACTCAGCTAGGGCCTTAAGACAAGGAGGAAAAAGTGTACAATCAAGGAATTCTGTAGGATCAGTAACATCAGAGTGAATGAAAAGCATGCTCCTCCCTCTATTAACCCTTCCCAACTCACCAGCTTTACAGGCCAGAACCTCAGCCACATCTCTATATCCCCATAACATTTACCACAGCATCTTGAACAGATGGTACCAAATATCTGCTGAATAACAAGTGAATGCCTTGAATGCAACTTCCTATATATGTATTCAGTAGTCCCCAAACCTTAACAAATATCCAAAGTCTTAAAGCAGGAAATGGAAATGAGGAAGAACAAAGCTAACATGATGGGACATGCATTCACTTCTCAACACAAGTACATGATCTTACTGTGCATCTCAAGGTGGCCTCTTACTGCTGCCCTCAAACCTTAATGTGTATCAGGCATTCTTACCTTTAAAAAGTTATTAACACTTCATTGCTGTTAGAGCAAAAAAGAGTACTATTAAGAGAAGCAAGAATTTAAATATGAAACTCCACTTCCTCCTAACAGTGGGGTGTCCAGATTCAAACCCCTATGCCTCTACAAGCAGTCAGGAGGAAGTTAATTAACACAACGAAGGACAGAGGTGTGTGAGGCAAGAATAAGAAGGAACACTATTTCAAAGGACAGAGCGTTGGCAGGGGCAGAAGACAAGTCTTAGGAGCCGAACTTTTGAAAGTAACAAAGACAGTGCATCACAGCACAAAAGTCACACGTTGCTGAAACATGATCTAGTCCCAGACTGCAGGAGCCTAAGATCAATGAATTCAAGAGTATCTCTTTCTGGTACTCTGAACAGGCAAATCTAATTCCACTATATAAAATCCCTCAACCTGGCCCCTGAAATACGAGGAACGTACAACACTTCTCATTTGTTTAGCTTCAGAAATATATATTTTTTTCCTTTCCTACATATTTATACTATTCCAATAACTTGTCTTACATTGTTTAGAGTCCAAAATACACATATTATAATTATTCAGACTTGCTTAAGGGATTTCCCTGACAGCAAAAGTTATCTCCAAATTATCATTATTTGTTAGATTCTTTTTTGTACTTGTTTAATTTGGGTCTCTTTAATAAGTCCCCTCTTATTTGTAAAGGCTCCTTTAAATTACACCTTTCCTTCCCTGTCATTTACTTTTTAATATTCAGTGATTTAGATTAAGGGATTATGAAATGTATTTAAGGTGGTTAATTCTTCTTTACCTCAACATTCAGAAGACTATTAAGGTACAAAGAGAAAATAAACAACATGAACACTTAGAAGAGAATGTTTTTTCCAATTTTACATTGTTATTTTATTATTTGCTGCCTTCTTTGAACTCATATATACAGATGCTACCACTCTCACTTTCAACAATAACAAAGCATTTTTATTCTGCTTTTTGCAGAAGGCTATCATCAAGATTTCTTCAAGCTACATAGGAAGAAAGACAGCATTTGATTATTATTTTGAGTAATGACTTCAACATATCAGGACAAGTCTTCCTGGTGAATACTTTGTTCAATAATATGAAGAGGAAGCATCATTACCAAGAGTCAGATGTTCTGAACTAAAGAGAGCAACTATATACAGGTCTTGTCATTTGATGGAATCACTCAAATGTATAAATAAGAATCTTGACTTCGTAGAGATAAACAAATCAGTGAATAAATGAAAGAAATACAAAAAGCACCACTCATCAACATACATTTCTCTTTGTCCCTTATTATACTACTGGCCAATGATTTTAAATAGGCTGTCGAATTGGTAAACGAAAGACTTTCAATTGCCTAAAGTAAGAAAAACTGGTAACTTTCAAATTACCTGCAACAAGGGCAGACTGATGATACCCAGCACACACTAGGAACTCAAAACATGATTGCTGAACAAAGACTTAAAATAAGGGCCTTCATGAGGTGCACAGAACATAAATCATTTCTTATGAAAGAAGTATTTCTTAAAGACTTTGAAAAAGAACATATTCACACGCATACTTTTGTTATTTTAATTTATCTTTTAAACCATGACATATCTAAAAATATTAACTGGAGGCTGAATTTGCACAAAAGATACCTTAGAATCTTCATTAATCGCTTCCAATTTCTCTAGTTCACCAATTTACAGTTATATAAGAAAAGCAAATGGAGCACTAAATTAAAAATCCACTCCTTTTAGTCACAATGTAAGTAATACAGCTGGTAGAACAGGAAATCAGAGAAGTTTGAGAATTTTCTGTATGTTTTTCAAGGATTACTATTGATAAAATTTAAGGTTCTGGTCATGGTCTATCCACACAACTCTTCCTAAATTTAAAGCAAACCCTTAAACACAAAGTATCAGAGAGCAATATATCCCCCAGATGGGGAGCAGAACTTACTTCAACTCGAAAAAGTTCTCCAGCCCCCTCACAGTCATTGGATGTGATTATTGGAGTATGAATGTGCACAAAGCCACTGTCCTAGAAGAAAAAGAAAAGCCCATTTTTTTTTCCAGTACATTTGTATACGAAACAATGCCAAGAACATACACCTTATTACACTACTAAAATAGCACTGAGAATGCCACATCAAATCCCTCCCTGACCTCCCAAATAAAACTACTGAAATATCAAGTTGAATGTTTTACTGTGCACAGAAGCACAAAGAATTTTAAATCAGGAACTGGCTTAGACATTATCTAGTCCGATCTCATTTCAAAGATAAGGAAATTGAGGCCCAAAGAGATTTAATGAATTGCTGAAAGTCCACATAACTAGTCCATGGCAGAGCCAGGACAAAACCTAGGTCTTCAAGGTCTCTCTCTGGTGCTAGGTCTTCTTCCCACTTCTCTAACGTACTGGCAGTGAATTAACACACACACACAAAGACACATACCCACACTCACTCAAGGCTAACGCATAATGATGTTGCCCACATTGCTAAGGAAATACAAAGTGATCAATGTGAAGTTCAGTTATTTTGGAATGAGACCCTCAATGGTAACAAACCACCAAAAAGGAGAAAAAATAGGTTGACAAATAGGGACCGAAGAAATAAACAGCGAAAGAGGCAGAAAGGATTCTTAGGAAGTCTGTCATTTAAGTGATGACACAGTACACTGCACATGGCACAAGCAGTGTGCCTCCTTTGCCTCAAGGAAGATTCTGAGCAGCAGATCCATCCATTACTGAGGCGCCCACTTACAATTCTTCCGCTCCGAAGTCTGAGACTATTTCCATTAGTGAACCACAAAAGCTGTTGATAGTAGGATTGAAATAACCCAGCAACCTCAAGGTTATACTTCTTTCATTTTGACTATGGATGTAGGCAAAAGGTTACAGTCAGCATAAATGTTGCAGGGTGGGGGTGGAGGTAGCTAAAGTGAACTTTTGCTGCAAAGGCAGAACAGTACTATGTTTAATGCAAAAATTTTGGTCTTGAAATCAATACAGTAAATTCATATATACACATCTAATTTCTGCTAAATTCTGCCTATCGCTGGTGGAACATAAAACGTCTCAGTGCGTTACCAGGGGCCTCCCAAATTTGCCCCTTCCTTCCTAAAAGGGTTGAATTCAAGTGTTCTGGCTACAGTACAAAGTATCCAATCAACAACTTGCCTTATGATATAGACTGATTAAATATTCAAGCTATAAACTAAGTCTCAGAAAGTACTCAAATATGTACTTAATCTGGAAGCAACTTGCCTAGAGGTGCTGCACAGAGCACATAACAGAGAACGTATGAAATATAATCAATAACATTACTGCGTAAAATTTTTATCTCCTAGCAGCCGAGAATTATGGACATGAATCATTTATTCCACATGAATGCAGGCAACTATGAGCATGAGTGCAGTAAACAAAGAAAGGAAGTGAAAAATCCAAAGGAAATGAGGGTGGCGAGGGGGAGGGGGGAGGGAGGAGAAAATTTAACGGCTAAATATAATCGCCCAAGTTAGAGCTGGTCAAGCGCCACAAGAAACAACACTCAATCTTACGAAAATAACTTTATGGGATATGTCTTTTTTAAATCGCTCAAGTAGTGGGAATTATTTTTAATACTCAACTAATGTTAAATCTTTCAAAAGGGGTCATCAGATTTTTAAGCCTTAATGCCACTAGCAAGGCTTATCGTATCTAAATCTTTAACATTACCACCAAAAGCTATAAAGGAGAGAGTACAAAGGAAGAATAATAAAGCAGTGAGAACAAAGTTCAAAAAGGAAAAAGTAGGCAGGGAAGTAGAAAGATAAAAAGGAAAATAAACACCAAGAAGTGGAGGAGTACTGTGAGTAGGTGCCTCCAGTGGGGCACCAGCTCAGGAACTTATCCCATCCCACAGCAACGGGCTTCCTATTAGAGATATGAAGGCCAGGCGGGGCAAAATATAAAAGCACACACTTTCATCCAACTTTTCAGATTCCACCCACCACCTCTAAATATCTAAATATTTTGATGGAAAAACATTCTAGATATTTTATAAGGCACTGAGCATCCGAAAATTACAAAATTCACATACTAAGGCCCATAGATGTCAAAGACATGTTGTATATTTTTCTCTCACACACACCCAAAATAAGTATCATTATTTAATCAGAATCAACAAAAAAAGAAATGTGACAGGAGTTGCTAGCCACAGGCACACCACTGGCAACAAAAAGCGCCAGCAAGAGGAGACCAAAAAAATCTATAAAAAGCAATAACAGGAACCCAAAGGCACAGCAGTCTGGGGTCATTCAACACTGTGGCAAAGAATACTCCACATGGTGACGGACTCTGAAGACACTGCCATACAGAAGAGGGCAAAATCTGATGCTTAAAGGAAGCAATTTGACTCATCAAGAAAGGGTGAACCCTTCTCTACGGGCCAACTTAGGAAGCCAGGGAAGTATATAATACATTTTAGGATAATTTCCATGGAAATTTAGAAAAAATTAAGAGAGAATCCTCAGTTATTTTTGAAACTCATTTCTTTTAAATAACCCATTCCTTGAGGATCTAGATAGCCAAGTTTCACTACATAGCAAATGCGTCAATTTTATGAGCAAACCAACTTATACACAAAACATTTTTGATACTCAACCCAAAAAATAACTCTAGATCGTTAAAGTATCCTAAGTAAAAGTTACTGCTTAAGTTTCTACTTTTTCTCACATTTCTATATTTTTATTGATGGATTTGAAATTTATGAACATTTTACATTTTAAGTCTTATCTTCTTTTAGGGAGCCAAATGTAACAAGTCACAGAAACAGTACCAAATACTAGATAACATGTAACTACTATTTAACATGTCCTATAGTACTCCAGTGATTTCGGTAAACAGTTCATTCCTAAATGTTACACATACAAGTGGGAAACATCATAGAAGGAGGTATCAGGATTATATTTTCCAGGGCTTTACAATTAAAAAGTGAATTTACAGCACTTAAAAGTGCCTACCTTTATACTGACCACACAACAGTGCTAAAATTTGAGTTCTTTTCAATCACTTAAAATGCTTTTTAAATTTTACTTTATTTTGATTTTTCATTTTAGATTTTTCTAGTTTGTTCTCTTATTTTTTAATTGTTCACATATTTGTAAAAGCTTCAACTAATAAAGAAATGTATAAAGTAGGTCAACGGATTGCCAATAGCCCCACCTAGTGGCCAGAAATCTACAAAATTCTGGGAATTAAAGCAAGTCCACTTTATCAGCTGTTTAAAGCCATATGGGGAAAAAAACCCTTTAGATCTAAACAAATTTTCTGTTTGTGTGGTTTAAGCACTACTGAAAAGCCATATGGAAGCTGCATAATAAAATTTATGATAGCATATGTAAATGCACCCTTGTAAACTATAATGGGATGACATTGTATAATGTAATTTATTTTCCTTTGTTTATTCAAAAGTACATGTCACAAAGGCATGATGTTCTTTAGCTGTTTCATCAGAAATTAACTCTGAAGGAGCTTTTCAAATTGCAAGAACTCTCTTGGTGTGCTAGATCAGAGCTCAGCCTGCAGGAGTTTGGATACAGTCCAAGGCAAGGGGTATGCTGTTATATAATCTGCAAATTAGCTGGATCTGGAGAAGTGGTACAGGAAGAGTTCTCAAACCACACAAAATGACACTGAACTTCACTTGCTGGGTCACTCCTCGCCTTTCGGGCTCTCCATCACATGGGGGAGGGTCCCATCACCTCAGCAACTTACCAACTACATTCCACTGTGGCTTTCCCAGGTGGGGGGAGATGGCTGAAAGGCAAAGGTCAGTGAAACAAAACGCCTTTAGTCACTAGATCAATCAACTTAACCAATACCCATAATTCTTTAAAATTAGTGCCTACCATGTAAAAAATAAGTCTATGACCAAGATGAATAAATAGGGACCAGATATACCCTCCAACCTGAAAATACCAAGAAAACAAAAACAAAACAAAAAAACCCATAAGCAAACTACATGAAAGGATGGTTTTCAAGACACTGGATATCAGACAACAAAGGATAGTGATCCCTGAGAGTCGGAGACAAACAACGGTGAACACTATGAGTAGCCCAGCTTACTACCTTGAGCTCTTCTGGGCCATGGCAGAAACGGGAGAAATAAAGCGGAGTGAGCAGACACCGAGTTGAGACACAGCTGAGAGTCTGAGGAGGCTAAAGTGGCTAGAACTCACAGGACAGAGTACCAGAAAGAAGAGCGCTTCGCAGAGAACTCCAGAGATGTGCAGCGGGCCACCCTGGAGCATTAGGCAGAGGACTGATCGTCGCATGTGTGTGAGGAAACTACACAAGGCCAGGGAAAGAACCATCCAAAGAGAATAGAGGAAACAGTGCCTGGTGCTGCCGGGTGGCTGAAGCTGCCACTGCTCCCACAACACAGACTGGAAAAATCCATAATTCACAAGGCACTAGGTAGAGTACTCAGGAAGGCTCTCCCTCAGTAGTAAGGAATAATTAATTCTAGACTGAGCACTGCTTCAGACCTTCTTAAATCATAAAAGACCCAAAGGATCAAACAGTTTTCAAGTAACTTAACTGCATTCCAGAACAAAGCTTAAGAAGCTTTACAAATATCCAGCACCCAACAAGGTAAAATCACAATGGCTGGCATCAAATTAAAGATTAGTAGGTTTGTAGGGGCAGGAAAATAGAACCCACAATGAAGAGACTAATCAATCAAAACTGACTCATAACTGACAGACATGTCAGAATTAGAAGAAAATGACATAAAAGTTATTATTTTTCTGAATTGAGATATAATTGACATGTAACATTCTATTTGTTTCAGGTGTACAATATAATGATTCAGTATTTGAATACACTATTGTGAAATGATCACCACGAGTCTAGTTAACATCCCTCACCACAAATAATTACGAAATTGTTTTTGTGATGAGAACTTCTAAGATCTACTTTTTTAGCAACTTTCAAATATACAATATAGTATTATTAACTACTGTCACCTAGCTGTATATTACATCCCCATGACATATTTACAACTGAAAGTTTGTACCTGTGACCCCCTTCACCCACCCCCTCCCCCTGGCAACCACCTATCTGTCCTCTGTATCTATGAGTTCTTTTAGTTTTTTTAGATTTCATATGTAAGTGAGATCATACAGTAATTGTCTTTCTCTGTCTGACTTATTTAACCTAGCATAATGCCCTCAAGGTCTGTTCGTGATGTCACAAATGGCAAGATTTCTGTCATTTTTATGGCTGAATGATATTCCACTGTATATACACACCACATTTTCCTTATGCATTCATCCATCAGTGGAAACTTAGGTTGCTTCCATATCTTGGCTATTGTAAATAATGCTGCAATGAACATAGGGGTGCATATATCTTCTCGAATTAGTGTTTTCATTTTCTTTGGATAAATACCCAGAAGTGGAACTGCAGGATGATATGGTAGTTCTATTTTTAATTTTTTGAGGAACCTCCATACTGTTTTTCCATCATGGCTACGCCAATTTACCTTCCCACCAACAGTACACAAGAGTTTCCTTTCTTGCACATCCTCACCAACACTTGATATTTCTTGTCTTTTTGATAATAGCCATTCTAACAGGTGTGAGGGGATGGCTCATTGTGGTTTTGATTTGCATTTCCCTGATGACTAGTGATGCTGAGCACCTTTTTCATGTGCCTGTCGGTTATCTATGTTTCTTCTTTGGAAAAACGTCTATTCAGATCCTCTGCCCATTTTTTTAATCAGATTGTTTTTTTGCTATTGAGTTATATGAGTTTGTTATATATTGTGGATATTAACCTCATCAGATATATGATGTGCAAATATTTTCTCCCACTTTTCATTTTGTTAATGGTTTCTTTTGCCATGCGCAAGCGCTTTAGTTTGATGTAGGCCCACTTCTTTACTATTGCTTTTGTTGCCTTTGATTTTGGTGTCAAATCCAAAAAAATCACCACCAAGACTGATGTCAAGAAGCTTACTGTCTATGTTTCCTTCTACAAGTTTTGCAGATTTAGGACTTACATTCAAGTCTTTGATCCATTTTGAGTTAATTTTTGTGTACAGCGTAAGACAGTGGTCCAGTTTTCCCAACAGCATTTATTGAAGAGACTGTCCTTTCTCCACTGTATGTTCTTAGCTCCTTTGTCATAAATTAATTGACCATAAGTGTAGGTTTATTTCTGGGCTCTCTATTCTGTTCCATTGATCTAAGTGTTTTTATGCCAATACCATACTGTTTTGATTACTACAGCTTTGTAATACAGTTTGAAATCAGGGAGTGTGATGCCTCCAGCTTTGTTCTTTTTTCTCAAGATTTCTTTGAATATTCAGGGTTTTTGTGGTTCTATACAAACGTTAGCATTGTTTTTTCTATTTCTATGAAAAACGCTATTGGGATTTTGACAGGGATTGGATTTGTAGATTGCTTTGGGTGGTATGGACATTTTAACAGTATTAATTCTTCCAATTCGTGAGCATGGAATATCTTTCCATTTTTTGTGTTCTTCAATTTCTCTCATCATGTCTTATAGTTTTCAGTGTACAGGTCTTCACCTCCTTGGTTAAATTTATTCCAGGTATTTTATTCTCTTTGATGCAATGTAAATGGGATTGTTTTCTCAATTTCTCTTTCTGATAGTTTGTTATTAGTGTATAGAAATACAACAGATTTTTGTATATTGATTTTGTATTCTTCAACTTTACTAAATTTGTTTATTAGTGCTAACAGTTTTTTTGGTGGGGTCTTTAGGGTTTTCAATATATAATATCATGTCATCTGGGGGCCGGCCCCGTGGCCAAGTGGTTGAGTTCACAGGCTCCACCTCCGCAGCCCAGGGTTTCACCAGTTTGGATCCTGGGTGCAGACATGGCATGGCTCATCAAGCCATGCTGAGGCAGCATCCCACATGCCACAACTGGAAGGACCCACAACTAAAAATATACAACTATGTACTGGGGGCGCTTTGGGGAGAAAAAGGAAAAATAAAATGCTAAAAAAAAAAATCATGTCACCTGCAAATACTGACAGTGTTCCTTCTTCCTTTCTGATTTAGATGTCTTTTATTTTTTTTTCCTTGCCTAATTGCTCTGTCTGACTTCTAAGACTATGCTGAACAAAGGTGAAGAGTGGACATCCATGTCTTGTTCCTGATCTTAGAGGAAATGCTTTCAGCTTTTCACCAGTGAATATGATGTTAGCTGTGGGACTGTCACATATGGACTTCATCATGTTGAAGTACATTCCCTCTATATCCACTTTGTTGAGAGTTTTTGTCAGTTAAAACAGTTATTAAACAGACAGTAAAACTGTAAACAGTTTTAATTAAAACTGTATTGTATATGTTCAAAAAGTAAAGCAGAGATGTGGAAGACACCAAAAAAGGCCCAAATCAAACATCTAGATATGAAACCTACAATGTGTGAGATAAAAAATGCAATGCAGAGGAACAACAATAAATTAGGCATCAAAGAAGAAAAGATCTGTAAGCTTGAAGATATAGCACTAGAAGCTATTCAAAAAACAGAGAAAAAGGAATTTAAGAAAAGGAAAGAAATCACTGTGTTATAGGATATGACCAAGTGGCCTAAGTGGTAGAGATGGTTAAAGTCCCCAAAGGAAGGAGGTAACAAAAAAAAATACTTGAGGAAATGGCTGAAAACTTGATGAAAATTATAAATGCACAGATCCAAAAAAAGTCAATGAACTCAAAACAGGAGAAAAATAAAGAAAACTGTGCCAAGGCACACCATAATCAAATTGCTCAAAACCAGAGATAAAGAGAAAATCTTAAAATCAGCCACAGAAAAAAGTACCACATAAGTAAAGGGTGCCTGGAATAAAAGACTAAGAGAACTTTCAGGATAATACTCCGGTGTTATAATTATTCAACTTCTTCACAAGAAAGAATACCTATAAGCAAAGCCCCCTTACCTTAAAGAAAGAATGAATAGCAGCTGTGGCTTCACTGCGGACCCTCAGGATAGAACCCAGGACATTAGTCCTGCACCTAAGGTGAGGGTACTGTCTCAGATACTCCAGAGGATGCCTCTCTTTATATTTAAAAGGGAAAGCCTGCCAATAAATGGAAAAAAACAAATTAAAAGCTAAAAAAGATACTGTTTTATAAAATCAGTTTCCAGGGCAAATGTTAAACAGTAGTGCTTTAAAACAAAACTAAGATGCTTTCCTTTTTTACTTCTTAATATAACTGAATGTAGTCCACATTAATTCCAACAAGTTGGTAGAACGATGGGGTGGAATCAGAGAGATGTGGGTTTGAATTCAGGTCTACTACTTGTTAGCTGTGGAACCTGGGACAAAGTTACTTAATGTCATAAGGCTAATCTGTTATTTATCAAATTTCTACGCATTTCTCAATTTCTATTTACAAATCACTATTTACAAATAGAGAAATTAGGATATAATTATGCAAAATAGTCCACTGTTTGACACATAGGAGTTCAGAATAGTACAGATATTAAAGATTATGTTTTCTACAGCTGTATACACACAGCTGGTGTTCAATTTTAAAACCATCCAAATGCCCTGAAAACCCACAATCACTGACAATCAACTGGCACTATATACCACTGACTATCAACACATACTGCTGTCTAAGAACATGCGGGAGGATCAACAGCTTTCTGTTATCCACTAGATAGAGTGGTGCAGATTTACAAAAATTTTAAGGAAATTATGACTCCACTTAGAAATATTTCCACCCCGCCCACACTCATGTTACAAGATTAAGAAGACAGAAACAAACTTTCAGACCAAAACCAAAGTTTCAATAAAAAAGATTACAGAGAAGCCAAGTAAAAGAGCTACACTGGTCCCCCGTTTCTTTTCCTTTAGTCTTGTCTATCCCCTTTAGGCCTTGTGCACATACTAATTTATACCGTATAGAAATAAGCACATATTTGCTAAAGGGAAAATATGACCACATTAATAAGAATCTGCAGACTGCTAAGGCTTCAGAATTCCCTAATGTCTGAGTACTTAAACATGACACTGAAATGAAGAGGAAGAGACGGTGAAGGCATCAACACCAACAGAGGCCAAGGGAGAACCATTTGAGAAGAATAAAACACATGGCAAATTTTTAATAATTATATATCCCTCTAAAAAAGCAAAAACAAAAATTATTACCATTTCCATTCCTGAGTTCCAAATTATTTTCACAGTTTATTTTTCAGAAATCTTAGAACCCGATTCCTGATTTTACACATCAATTAGAACTTCTTAGAAAATTATTCAGAATGACATTTTTTTAAAAAATCGCCTGATTTTCTTTGTTATTTCCTTATAATTTCTTCCAATTTCCCAAAAGAAATAAAAACCAATTAAAATGATGCAAGTTCCCTATATTTCCTCATGTTTTGTTCATTAAACATTAGAAGACAAGGATAGCAAAAACACAGGGGAGTCAAATGCCTAGAATATGAACTTTAGCTGTGCCGCTAATCGGCAATGCACCCTTGGGCAAGTAATTTCACCTGGGCCTCATTTTCTCCAATTTAAGAAACTGGATTGATAATCTGATTTTATTCCCACTAACCTCTTCAGCAGGCTATAAATAAAAAGCTACCGACGGAAGAATCTTGCAAAAATAGACATTAACATGTCTTAATGTAGACTTTCTTAATGTGGACTTATCTTTGTTTAGTCCAAGCATTACAACACTCTAGGTTAGCACTGGCCAATAGGATTTTCTGTGATGAACAGAAATGCTCTGTGTCTGCTGTCCAGTACAGTCACCACTACCTGCATGCGACTACTGAACACTTGAATTGTGGCTAATGCCACTGAGGAACTGAATTTTCAATTTAATTCTAATTGACTTAATATTAAGTAGTCACAGGTAGCTAGTGGCTACTGTATTGGACGATACAGTTCTAGATCAGGCAAGAGTCACTTCTAGGCAGAGCTTTCCTAAGAACGTCGTCTGCCCTGGTATGTCTCTGTTATTGTGGCTGACTGGGCATGCTTGTAAAAGTGTCAAATTTCAACTGTGACAGGCACCACAGAGATGCACAGATTAATACTTAGCTCTCATTCATAAGATTCAGCCATCTACACAAATACTTTTTGTTACTCTCTCTACATTCCTCAGACTCTATAGCCTGTTTCAATAATGTGGAAAGTCACAACTGAAACATGTTCTCACTGCCATCTTCCCAATAATCACACTTCAAACACATCACTAGTATTTCAAATTAAGCCTAAACAGCCTCCATAAAAGTGTCAGAAAGCATACCTTGGCATCACAATTTCCAACAACTTCAATTTTTTCTGCCTTCAGTTCCACATTTTGCCTTTTGGATGGACTTTTTACCAGCTGCCCTTGAACTTCCACAGAACTCCCAAAAGCCAGTTCTCTACAGGAACAAAAAAACACCATAAACAAGTGTCATTACATGTAACCCTCATGGTAATACAAACCTTGCTATCAGAACATTAAAATATTCAATGATTGAAGTTTTTACCCTTAATTGAGCTAAGAGCTGCAAGAAGTTAAGAGAGAGTGGAGCAAAGCATAGGTGGGGGATATCATCATGTGAAGATGTTAGAGGAGGACAGGCCCGAGCTTGAAGGATCTTGATTCCAAGTCTTTGGCCTTGAGCCTTAAAGCCATGAAAAGCAGATTTGTTTAGAAGGATCACTCACGGGACAAAGTGAACACTGGATTAGGGATGGGGAGCAGAGGAGATGGAAAAAAATAATCAAAGGACTCTTTTTTTAAAAAAACAAAACTCACTTGCTGTCAAAGCTTGAATCTGCTACAACCTGAAGGCTTTCCAAAGATGACCCATCATTTATATGCAGGAACAAGACTTCCTTCTGGGACCGGACTGAACGAATCCATCCCTAACGAGGAAAGTATTTCTAAATGTGAGCTTAAAACATGTTACATTTTCATTACACATACGCATAAAAGACTAAACGAAAAAAAGAAAATAAAAAGTCCTCATAATCCTGCCTTAACAAATCAATTGCTTTCAGTTCACCCATATGCATATATAATTTTATATGGTTCTTATCACAGTGAGACACAGGTTTGGCAGTCTACTGTTTGTTCTATTTTGTTTTGTTAATAAAGCTCATCATTCTGAATGGATGACTAATATTCCATCAGGTTGCTGAGCCTAATTCACATAACCAATCTCCTCAATATTGTCTATTCCAAGTATTTTCTCCCACCCCTACTCTCATCTCCCACTGTTACAAACAACAGGGTACATATTTTGGTGCCTTTCTTCTTTTGTATCAAATTCCCAGAAGGGAGATTATGTAGTTATAGAGTAGAAACATCTTTATGGGATTTTTTTTTCCTTTCACGAAGTATCATACAAAAAGAGTTCTTGAGAAACTTCTCATTATGAACACATATAAAGTAGTACATAAACCTTCAAAAACACTGAATTTAAATGACAGATATGTGTGAGTACAAATGAGATGTCTTCAAGTAGACCAGTAACACTAAAAACAGCTCTCACCAATCACATCCGACTTCAATGTAACTAGCACAGAAGAGCGAACATCCGACTTCAATGTAACTAGCACAGAAGAGTGAAACAACTGATGGTGTTTGATTAACCATCAAACACACTCAGAAAAGCAAGATGATCCTACTTAGAAAAACTTTATTGACTCCTTACTTTCTTTGTGTCCTCATCATATCCTATAGACACTGTTATAAAGTCCTTCTATTACTTATTTGCATGTCCAATATATTTTGACGGTTTAGGAATCATGCTTTCATTCCTTTGAAGGCTACTGTCAGGCATATAGTAGATAGTCCATAAATGTTTTTCACTCAAAGAATATCTACCATGTACAGAACTGAACATCTACTATGTGACAAGCATTTTACAACCTTCTTCATATACTGTTTCATCTCCTCACAACAGCTCTAAGAACTGTCATCATTCCCAGTTACAAGTGAGGCACCTGAGGTTCACAGAAGTGAAATAACTTGCTGCAGGTCGCACTGCTGGTAAAGGGTGGAGCCTGAATTTGAATCCAAGTCTACCAGAAAGCCCTTGATCTTTCTCCAGGGCTACAGTGAAGGAGGTGTAAATTGTCTCAGCCTTGCGTACAAGACCCTCCATAATTTGGAGCGTGCCCATCTTTGTAGTCTCATCATGCTTCTCAATTGACAGTAATTTCCAAAGCTCCACTCTCTTGCCTTTACTTTTTAGTAACAGTTAACATCATGGAACATTTTTTAATGTGCTTCCGTTCTAGGTTCTTTATAAATATTATACTACTTACTCCCCTTAAGAACTTAATAAAGTGCATATTATCATTTTAGAGATGAAGAAACATATTTAGAGAGATTGGGATAACCCCTCTAAACAGTCAAGGTCATACAGTTACCAAGTGGTACAAGTGGAATTCAAATACAGCTCTCACTTCGAAGTTCATGCTCTTAACAACAACCTTTTCTGGAATGCTATTTCCACCCCATGCCCAGTTCCTCTACCTGAGGAACACATCCTCCAGGATTCTGCTGAAACGCCACCTCACACAAGAAGTCTTCCTTGACCCCCACACAGTTAAGGACTTCCCTCTGTTTTCTTCATAGTTCTTTCTTTACACCACTAATGCTTATCACATTGCTGTAATTACTGGTCTGAGCCATGAGACCAGGGCTGTCCAACAAAAATGTGAGTCATATTTGCAATTTTGTGTTCTTTTGGGGGGGGGGTCACATTAAAGGTAAAAAGAAACAAGTAAAATTAATAATATATTTTATGTAACCCATTATGCCCCCAATATCATTAACATGTAATCAATATAAAAACATAGTGGGATACTTTGCAATCTTTTTTGTTCTTCAAAATTAGTGTCTATTTCACATGTACAGCACCTCTCAATTCAGACTAGCCATATTTCAGGTGCTCAGTGCCACAAGTGACTGGTACCTATTATACTGGGCTGCACAGCACTAAAATAAAAGCTTCTAACCTAGGCAGTAGGTTCTGTTCTTTTCATCTTTGAATCCTCTCGACTAGCTCACAGAAGGTATCATTAATGTATGTCAAATTAATGTATTAATGCAAGAAAAGGTTTTGATTTGGATTATGGAAATAATATGAAATCCAAAGAAATGCAAAGGGGGGTAGATTAGTTTTATTGCTAAAAATCAAGGATATGTGAGAACAACAAAAATAACTGCATCAGTGTGTTTCAGCAACCTAATAAGAAACAGTCAAACCACCTTGTTTGGTCTGCTCATTTATGGGGGAATCTTCTATGTGGAGCTGCTGCAAATACTACACTAGCAAGAGAAATAATAGCAGCTAACATTTATAGACTGTGGGCCACTGTCCTAAATTTTTTTTTTTTTTTTTTGAGGAAGATTAGCCCTGAGCTAACTGCTGCCAATCCTTCTCTTTTTGCTGAGGAAGACTGGCCCTGAGCTAACATCCATGCCCATCTTCTTCTACTTTATATGTGTGACGCCTACCACAGCATGGCTTGCCAAGCAGTGCCATGTCTGCACCCGGGATCCAAACCGGAGAACCCCAGGCCACCGAAGTGGCAGGTGTGCCCTTAACCGCTGCACCACCAGGCCGGCCCCTAACTGTCTTATAATTACTTAATCTTCAGCAATCTATGAGGTAGGGACTATTATCACCATTTTTATAAGAGGAAACTGAGGTTTAGGGCACATAAGCGACATGCCCATAATTAATGACTACTCAGTGGCAGAGATTTAAACCTAGGCTATTTGACTCCAGAGCTCTTTCAGAGTGCTACATTCCACTCTTTCTCCCAATTTATTTAACATGAATTATATCCAAAGCCCCATTTTAGGCACTGAAGTGGCTAAAAGTTGAATGGTTTAGTTGAACAAATATTTACTGTCAGCCCTGTGTGAATACCAAGACGACAAACCTGGTTTCTTCCCTTAAGGAGCTAGCTCTAGACAACCACATTAAACTGTGGCTATTCGTTATGAGGGATAAAGGGAAAGGGGCTCGTTCATTTTTCTGTATGATTTACAAGTTTACAAGTAATGCCCTGGTATCACGAAAACGAAGTCCCAGCGCTTTCTAGGCATCGGAACAATTTCCCGAAAAGTAACGTAGCCAAGGACAGGAGAAAAACGCGGAGGCACACGATTGCCTACACTTTCTAACTTCTCCCTGCCGGTTCTTCTGTCCGACCCCACAGCACAAGAGAAGCCTAGACACGATGTGCCGCAGAAGTCACTAAAAAGACAAAACCCACCCCGTCCCCATACACCAACCTGGACCTTAACGCGCTCCCCACTCGTGTTCTGGGCCCCGAGAGCATCCCGCACGCTCAGTTTAGCGGAAGGCTTGTGTCTCGGGCAGGGAGCGGAGGAACAGGAGCGCAGGGCTCGGAGCAGGCACCGGGCCCCGAGCATCGCGCGGCGGCTCCAGACCAGCTCTGATCCCAGCGAGTTCGGACCCTGCCCGCGGGGACCGTCCCTTCTCCTCCTCTTCCCGGGCCGCAGCGCTGCCCTCAGGTGCGGCTGCTCCCTTCCCCTTCAGGGGCCCCAGCGCTGCGCCCACAGAACCTCTCCTCCACGTCCCTCTCGCCAACAGGCCCAACAGAGTAACAGACTCAGCCGCGAGCGCCAAAAATACTCCACGCGCCCCGAGGAGCCGGGACAGCCCACCACCTGCCGCCGCTCGCTAAATCCAAAGCCCCGACCCCGAGCTGAAACACGCGCTGCCACCGCCCCTACGTCACTACGCCAACGTCACCACGTTACGAGGAGGTTAGGAGGGAGCATGCGTACTTGTGACTCCAGTTTAAAAGGCGGCGGTCCAGGGGCAAGGTGAAGGAGGCGGGGTGGAGGGAGGGGGCGGGGTCAGGAGCAGAGATGGGGCGGAGCTAAGGTGCTGTGGTTGCAGGGATTATCGTTGAAGAACCACGGAGCCCGCCAGGGGCGGAATCTGAGAGTCTTCATTTCTAAAACTTCCAGGTGATACTGAGGAACACCGAGAGGCAAGGAGTGACTGATGCAAAGCGAAAGCGTCCAGAAGGAGGCTGTTAGTTGTTGAGAGGATTAGCCTGAGGATATCAGTCATTCCTGAGTTCTGAGCAAAGAGAAAAACAAGACCTATAGCTCTTGCTCAAGGCACAGTTGCGTGGCATCAGAAATCTAAACAGGCCGTTGCATAATCAGTTCCCTGGCAGAACCTAAGTATGGGATGCCAGAGACGGTTTGCTGGAGAAGGTAGCCCTCTGACAGGTAAGAAGAGACCTTGAAAATGAGAGTCAGAGAAGGCATGCCTGGGGTGTGAAGGTGTGAAGATGTTAGAGAGAGGCTGGAGGAATGTGGGCCACTGCCTGCCAGAATCTTCAAGTCTCTCTCTCCCTTTTTTTCCAACACAGTTATCTGCATTTGTTTGACCTTGAAACAATGACCTTTTTATTTATTGGGCTACCTTTTAAATTTATCCCCCCAAATAATTTTTTTTTTCCTGTAACTCAGTGACACTCATGAAAACATTTCTATCTTGGGGCTGGCCCTGTGGCCGAGTGGTTAAGTTCGCAGGCTCCGCTTTGGCCGCCCAGGGTTTCGCCAGTTTGGATCCTGGGTGTGGACATGGCACCACTCAGTCAGGCCACGTTGAGGTGGCGTCCCACATGCCACAACTAGAAGGACCCACAACTAAAATATACAACTACGTACTGAGGGGATTTGGGGAGAAAAAGCAGAAAAAAAAGATTGGCAACAGTTGTTAGCTCAGGTGCCAATCTTAAAAAAAAAAAGATTTCTGTCTAATTAGAGAGTAGAAGTAAGGGCTAGTTACCAATAAAGTTGCCACTATTCTTATGCCTATTTTAAAGGTAAGGGAATTTAGGCACAGAAAGGTTAAATGAGTTGCTCAAGGGTACACATCCTATGTGTGAGGTTTAAACTCAGAAACCCTGGCTTCACCCACTAAACTATTATTATATACAGTGTCTTAAGGTGAGAAATAAAACTATGGTCCCTTCCATCAAGGACCTCATGGTCTAGCTATGGAGACTGGCAAGAAAACAGATCATTTCGATATAAACCAATAAGTACAAATATAAACATATGCGCCAAGTGAAGTGGTAGTCTAGAGAAGGAGATAATTGAGTTTTTGAGGAAGATCAGAATTTCGTCAGCTTGGGATGTAAGAAAAAGTATTTCCTGCCAGAAGATGGGCAGGAAAGGTTGCCAGGAGGGCAGACAGCGTGGAGGAATTGTAAAACTTTTTCAAGACAGACTAGAAAATATCTCCCATGAAAATACCATAGTTCTTGAGCACTTCTTGAAATTGAGAAAAGAAATATGGAAACTTCTAGCCAAATGCCTTCAGAATTATGTAGCTGTGGGCCTTTAAAAAAAATTCCTTGGCAGTATTGGTTGCAAATTCTGAGGAACAAGACAATCTGGGGTACATAGCAATGACCTGTATCCCAGTTCAGATCTCCTCTTTGACTATGCCTACCTTGTCCAAGGGACCAAAAGCGGTAACCAGTTGGATCACTTCCTCCACAGCCCATTTGTCTGTCTTGCCTTCTTTCTCCATCCCTTACCCAGAGTGTGCATCTTAAGAACTGTGGTCAGAGTGTAAGGGAGTGAGGATCCTGACTTCCTTTGCCCTCTCATCTATTGCTTGTTTAAGCCAAAGGGTTAGTTATTTTCTAAGCAGGGACCACTGCCCAGTAGTATGCTGCAGACCAGAGAAACCAGTGGGTGAAACTGAAAATTAGCGATAGTTAGTTTAAAACATATCATTGAGAGTTGACTATAGCATTCATGTGTGTGGTGCTAAGTTCAAATCATTCCATGTATCTTGTGCTGTATCAAATCGTATTACCTGCTTGTTTATTTTTATTTTCGATGTTGGAATGACACTTCCCTTTTTAGATCCATCGCCTTTCAGACAGTAGCCAGAATGATCATTCCAAAATGAACATATTACCGTGTCAGTAATAGTAATGGCTAGTGCTATGGAATACTTACTGTGCGCCGGGAACTCTTCACACATTAACTCATTTAATCCTTACAATAGTCCTCTGAAGGAGGGTTAGCATCATCATCCCATTTCCAAAGGAGAAACTGAACCTCTGTCTAATTAGAGAGTAGAAAGCTTTCGAGCTTGTACCAAGTTACTCTGGCAGTCTGGTTCCAGAGTCTGTTCTCTTATCCGCTTATTACTCCAGTCATTAAGCAACCCCTCAATTCCTCCTCTTATAATGTAAAGAGGACTTGCCTTCTTTAGCATGCCTTCCAGGCTCTCTGTGATCCATGGAGTTCCCTGAAGTGCCCTGGAGTGATGAACAGAAGTGAAACATCCTTATTGTTACCTTTTGATACTGCAGGTCTGTGCAAGGAACACTGTCAGCATTACTCATCAACTTTGGAGAAGATGTTAATCAGGCTCCACATGAGAGGTTTCAGCTTAACTGGCAAAGCTTCAGGACTTCTAAAAGGCAGGCATTACTCTGATACCCCTGTTGTCATGGAGTACAACTCAGTGTTCAGGGTTTTCTTTATGCTTGAGTCTACTCATGAAAATGTCAATACCCAAAACTTGATTTCAAGGTCATGACCTCAGGGTGTAGAGGAACATAGTACTTGATGCAGAAATTATGGAGACGTCCAGTGTGCAAAAAAGAATGGATGAGTACTGTAAAGGATCTTGGGTTTTTCAGAAGGAACTAACAATGGTGAATACAATTTAACTTGAAAAATTGAAGGGCACATGCAAAGAGCAGAAAAGGAAATTACATTTGTAGTTTAGAACTTTCAGAAAAACAGCTCATAATCTAGAAAGAAGCTGACAAGTCAATGGTCAATTGAAGGAATAGGTACAGAAAAGCAGTAGTAGCCAAGTCTTTGGGGGAGCAAAGCAGTTTTCCCAGAGGAAGTGATGTCTGAGCTGAGACCAGAGGATGAAGATCAGCCAGGAAGATGGGAACTGTGTGGCGAAGGGAGTTGGAGACCTTCCATGTTGTGATCCGGGTGGGCTTACCTGGATCACATAGGTAAACATTCCTTGAGCTACAAACTTGAGATATGTGCCTTTTACTTACATATACCTCAATAAAAATATAAATTAAGTATGAAAAGTAGAGGAATCAGGTCTGTTGCTAGAATTAAATCACCCTCTTTCCCTGGTTAGTGCAAGAGACATTCTTTGTAAAACATAGGAACTATTGCCTGCATATGGAAAAGTTTAGAGAATAATGCAATAAAACCTGGTACCTACCACCTAGGTTTGTCAAATCAAATATTAATATTTTATCATATTTCCTTCAGATCTCTTTTATTTCAAGAAAAAAAAACAGATACAATGAATCTCCCTTATTTCCCTCTACAGTCTCATTTCCCCCCTTTCCTGCTGGATAAAGGTAACCACTATCCAGAATTTACTGTTATCATTTTCTTGTGTGTTTTTATACTTTAATTTATACACACATATTGTATATGTACATATATATGTATAATGTGTGTATCTATAAACAGTCTCTTGTATTGTTTTGCATATTTTTAAACTTTAAATAAATGGTGTCTTACTCTTATGGTGTCTACATATTATTCTACAACTCAGATTTAGGTTTGTTTTTTTTTTAAAGATTTTATTTTTTTCCTTTTTCTCCCCAAAGCCCCCCAGTACATAGTTGTATGTTCTTCGTTGTGGGTCCTTCTAGTTGTGGCTTGTAGGATGCTACTTCAGTGTGGTTTGATGAGCAGTGCCATGTCCGCGCCCAGGATTCAAACCAACGAAACATTGGGCCGCCTGCAGCGGAGCGCACGAACTTAACCACTCGGCTATGGGGCCAGCCCCTCAGATTTAGTTTTTGAGATATATCCATGTATCTCCAGTTCCATTCTTTTTAATATTCCATTATATGGTTATACTACAACTTATTCATTCTCATTCTGATAGATATTTGGGCTGTTTTCAATGTTTTTCTATTACAAGTAGAGGTGGATTTAGTACGAACCTAATGAAATTTAAGCTCAGAGCCCCTTATTTGCATGTCCTTGTGGTCCCTCCCCCTATCATACCCCTCTTCCCCACGGTGCTGGGAGTTGCTGAGAGTGGTAGAGTGAGAGCAGAAGCAATCAGGAAGCATTTGTAAAGGAACTCAGAATGAAGGGACATAGATTTCCAAGGCTCTAGAAATTTCTTGTAGCTTCTTTTCTCATTCTAAGTAAATATTTACTTTAATATTGTAATCCTGTATTATTTTTCTTAAAGAGAACCTCCCAAATTATGTAAGCTTCCAGACCCACTGAGCTGGATCTGCCTTTGATTGTGAGAATGCTGTAGGAAATATACTGGACACACGTGAAAGAGTTTCGCGGGATCATAAGCCTAGCCTACATGCATCTTCAGCTTTACTAGGTACTGCCAAATTGCTCTCCAAATTGATGGTTCCAATTATATACCCTCCAATAGGCTTACAAGAGTTCTCAGAGCTCCATACCTTTAGTGACAACCGATAGAGTCAGACTTTCCAATTTTTATCCGTGTTGGCTAAGAAAGAGTATCTTGGTGTCTTAGAGAGTCTATGATTGATTCTCTCCTCTTTTTTTCTTCTCAAAATTCCATTTCAGCCATAACTCTCATCATTTGGAACAGCAGAGTGGAAAAGAGCACTAGCCTGGCCATCCAAAGTCCAGGTTCAAATCTCATCTGTATGACCCACTAGCTGTGGGATTGTGGAGAAGTCATTTAAACTCTGGACTTCCTT